AAAAAATAGCCCGGTGAGCCTTGGAAAAATCTGTTGGCTTTGCTAGAATCTGGGCATTTATACCACAGATGCTGCTGCTGTAATTGAAAAGGAAAGCTCAGGTGACAGAAACGATTCCTACGTGCACCAAAGCTCAGTCCTTGTCCTGTTTTTGGGGACCTCAGGCAAGAGGAAAAATGACTGGGGATGGCTCAGTGTCCTGCAACACAAGTCAGGCCAGTAGACACCCAGAAAGATTGAACTCAATGCATTTCTTTGAGGGGAAAAAAAAAAAAAAAAAGGCAAATTTTCTGGTAAACATCCAGAATGACTCAATAAACCAGCAAAATGACTCCAAAATCCTTTACTTGCTTTCTGAGGAAAATACCATTGAGTGATTTCATAGAATCCTTGACAAAGGCAACAGTCCTCTTCTTTTTTTCCAGTTACTTCAGGCTCTGTAACCCTCTGATTTTCCATACATGTTACAAATATGATGTTGATTAAGATACTGGAAACAGAAATCCTCTTGAAACAAGCATTTTTCTCAGATGAACTCCTTAAAACTGTGCAAGCAAAGTCACTACCCTGTGACATTTGGAAAGGAGAGCCATGAAGCCATCCTGCTGGGAATAAGGTCACTGGCTGGTTCTGCTCTGCTACCATTTAAATCTCAAAGGTCAAAAGAAAATGTTCCCAGTATTTTCTCCATGGAAAAAAATGACTGGGCATGAGCTGGGGAACGTTTTGGGGTTTTTTTTCCTCGTGGATTTTTAATGAAAAACAGATTCAATAGGATTTTTTCTTCAAAATGCAGCCAAAGGGTTAATAATAGTGTGAAGGAAAATAAGACTCCAGGTTTGGCTTAAATTTGGCACTTCTCCACTGATGTTGGGGGCTTGGGTGCTTGACCCCATCTAGTGGCACTCCAGGAACTAGGAGAAATCCCAGTCCATTGGGGGTTTTTCGAGATCCCCTCATCCTACATGAAGCACAGCCAGGTGTTGGACTGCTGGCTGAGAAGATCCTTTAGAAATAAATAAACCGAGCAGCACTTGTTTCCCCCAGGTGTGCATCCCTTGACGTGGGTGCTGGATAGGAAGAGGGTTACACTGGAATTTCATTTTTCCCTCAGCTCCAGGAGCAAGTGACCTCCTTGAAGCTGGTTTGTGCAGAGCCCTGGATCTGGAGAGTGGCTGTAATCCCACAGCCTTTGATCCTCCCCATCCCACAGCCCCTGCATGACCAGACCTCTGCCAGTCTGGGGTCCCATGGGTGGAGTCTGCTGGGCTGGACCACCTCAGGTCCCTCCTAAAGCTGGCCCAGCTTGGAGAGGTGTTCAGCCAACTCTGCCCATGGGAGGAGAGCCCAGCGCTGTGGTCAGCTTTGGTGAAGACAATTCTATGCCTGGCTGTGCCTCTGGAAATTCAGTTTACCTCAGTCCTCTCCTCTCCAGTCTGAATAGACCAAGTGACCCCAGCTGCTCCTCACACAGCTCCTCCTCAAGGCCTTGACCATCCTCAGGGCCCTCCTTGGGACACTTTCTAATAGTTCAATGACTTTTTATATTGTGGTGCCCAAATCTGTCCCCAGCACTTGAGGTGAGGCTACCCCAGCCCAGAGCAGAGCAGGACAATCCCATCCCTTGCCAGGCTGGTGATGCTGGGCCTGATGGCCCCAGGACTGGGATGTCCCTCCTGGCTGCCAAGGCACTGCTGATCCATATTCAAATTTCTATCAACCAGGACTCCCAGATTCCTTTCCAGGGTGCTGGTCTTCAGCATCTCACTCTCCAGTCTATGCACTCTCCAGGGTGCAGAATCCTTCATTTTCCCTTGTTGAAGTTCATACAGCTGGTGATTGCCCAGCCCTCAAATTTGTCAAGGTCTCTCTGGCCTTGGGGGAGCCAACAGCTCCTCCCAATTTAGTGTGATCACCAAACTTATTTAGTATTCATTAGAATCTTGTTGCCAGGTTGTTGATGAGGGTGCTGAAAAGCACAGGAGCCCTCCAGAACCCCACCAGTGACTGGACACCAGCCTGATGTCACGCCCTCCACTATGTTGTGTGTAGTAGATATAATTCACGCCGTTTCTAGTATGATAGATGTGATATTGAACATTTGTTAGAGTATACACGTTTGTATTAGGAGTCCCCCCAACCCTAGCGTGAAACATGGTGTATTTTAAAACCTGATTTACAAGTAAAAGGATGTGGCTCGGCCAGGAGATGGGCCATGGCTGGAGAGATAGGGGGTTGGGGAGGACCCCAGGCACTGATCATCACTAAACACCTGAGATGGATCTCATGGAAATCCTCGGGCAGATCCATGTGAATGCAGCGTTCCTGTAAACTTCATCAAGGGATTCAACAACTCTGGACTCTGAATTGTTCTTCCTCATCACCAAAAAAGAAAATCTTATTAACCTATAGACTCTGAATAGAAGAAAAGACTGACTGCCAAAATCATGGCCTCTGGTGGAATTTTCCCTATGAAAACCTCTTGTGCCAGGATGGAGGTGTGTGGGCATAGAGGAAAACCTCTGCTGAGGCTGATTTATTGTTGCACACCCAGGGTCAATTCCTGGGCTCGGCTCTGTTCTTTCCTTGTGGCTGGCTAGATAGAATTTGATTGCAAAATAAATATTTTATTTTTTCACTTTAAATTTGGCTGGACAAATTTTCATTTATAACAGCTACAACCCTTTGTGCCTGACCTGTGAGCCAGTTGCTCACCCACCACTCCACGCAGTTATCCAGCTGTGGGCTGGACATTTTGGGCTGGACATTTTGTCCAGAAGGATATTGTTAGAGACAGATACAGACTTCAGCCCTTCCTCTGCGACGTGCTGGCACTGGCATGGCCCAGCTTTCAAGCGGGCTGCTGGTGCCTCCTTTACTTTAATAACTCCTGGGAAGGATTTCACAGCCAGCCAGCTCTTCTTTCGTAAGCACCAGGTCCCTCTGCCCTCCCTGCTGTGCCCCTCTGGACCTGCCAACACACAAACCTACTTAGTTTCATTCCATTCTCCTGCTGCAGAGCACTTTGCAGGGCGCAGGGTCCCGGGGGAGGCAGCCCCTGGGCCGGTCTTGTCCCTTCCCTTACCCCGAGGTGAAACCACTTCTCCCAAAGTCAACAGCACAACCTACAGCAGCACCGGGGGAAATTCAGGATGAGGCCGTGGAAGCACAAGAATTGCCTCTGAACAGTGGCAAGCACAAGCGGTGCTGGGGTGGGATGCTCACGATGCCCAGCAGGGAGCTGAGCCCTTTCAAACTCAACAAGTGCTGTCAGAATGAAGCTCGTTCCTCGTTATTGCTTGACAAGAAGCTTAGCATTGACTTAATGAGTTCCCTTCAGAAGCCTCCACTGCTGCATTCCTTGGAAGATTAAGGGCTGCTGCTTTCTCCTCCACCCCTCCCTTCTGCTTTTTTCTAATGATGTTACTGAGAAGGCAGGAGAATCTGAGCTATGCCCTGCTTACCGCTGGGTGAACCCCATTTACACGGCATTTTTACTTCAGGAATCCTTCCAAACATTGCACGGGAGGGGTTTTACATCTGACAAAAGAAACAGTTAACATTCACCGAGATTAAACCCCCTTAATGCTGCCCGAGTTTGCATTTGCTTGCTCATGTGATTGTGCCTTTCCTGTGCCTTTAGTGTTAAAAGTACTGTCCAGAGGCTGGCTGGAAAAATGCTGTATTTTTTTTGTTAAATCCAGCATAGATGACAAACACCGTGCATTACCGACATCTATGAAAACACTCACCACCCTTTCGAAATGCCAAAACATTTTTTTTGTACTGAACTGTACAGGTACCAGGAGGCTCCATTCCATCCATGCTTTGGCGAGGCCACCAGGCAACCAATTTATTAAACCCTGGGAAAAAGAGAATCAGAGCCCTCAGCTCAGCAGAGCCGGCAGGGACAATCTGACGGCAGCAGAGGGACCATCATCACGACTGAGCTACGTCTGATGGATCAAGAGGAGCAGCTTTCTCGGGGGAATCCGGCACAGATCTGGATTCTCCAAGGTCCCGTTCCTGAGGACGCGACTTTGAGCGCTCGCCGTGGGTCTCCGGGGCAGTGGTGGAGGGGGCTGGAGGCGTGCTGGGTGGGACTGCGAGTACCAGCTCTCCATTCACTCGCACAGCAGAGCGGAGGCAAAGGACAGGGCATTTTCCCTTGCTGTTTCTTTACAGGATTAAAAACCAAAAAGGCGAGATTGGCTGAACCGAAAATTTAGAGCTGGAAGAGCAGAGTGATCTGAATTTTGCAAATCAGAGTTTGCTTGTTCTGGAGCCTCTCAGCAGCTCTGTTACAGAAAAGGCGCTTGGTTTGCGGCCAAAGAACTGCTGACAAAGAGAAGGGGGGAGAATAAAAAAAGAAAAAAGCTTGCAGAAAGGCGTCGGCATTGTTTGTGTTTAAAAGGGAGAGCGTGCGAGCTCTCGCTTTTAGCCAGGACGCGTTTCTCCCGCGGCTCTCCCTGCCTTGTGAACCGTGCTTAACCAAGCAGGGCGGGCGGCGGGGAAAGTTTTAATTATCGGCGTTTAGCAGCAGCTCCGGCACAGGCGGCCCCGCAGGCACCGCGCAAAGAGCCGGGGCGCCCGCCCCACCTCCGGCTCGGCCGGAGCGCGATGCCCGCGGGCAGAACCCCCGGGCAGGGGTCCCCAAGGGGCTCTGCAGGCTGTACCCTGCTCCCACTGCCTGGGGGGGAACCTCGCCCCGAGCTAAACTTTGTAAACACGGCGGAAAGCCAAGGCGGCTGCGGAGCCGAGGATCCCCACGCCGGCAGGGAGAGCTGGCAGCGATGAGTGTTGGCAGCGCCCAGCCCTCCCCTGTGCCAGCCTCCCCTTCCCCTTTAAATAAACATCCGTGTACAAAGCAGAAGGCACGCAGGATCCCCCCTCCCCTTCCCCTGGAAAAGGGATGCGGAGCCCGCTGGGTGCGCGTCTGGGATCGGCCGTGCAGCAAACACCGCCCGCAGCCGCCACTTGGTGAAAAACAGCAAAAGTACCTTTTGAATTCTTCCATCAATGTCCAAATAAATACATTTGGGCCGGTAAGTGGAGGAGGCAGATCCCATCTTGCTACAGCTGGGCTCTCACCGGACTTGTTTCCAGTGTCAATCAGAGCAGAAAATCAGGTTTATCCTACCCAGCCGAGCCACCGCTGCCTGACAGTTTGGTGTCCCCGCTCTTCTGTATCCCACTGTACTCTCATTCTGGGAAGGTCCCTCCTCTAACATGCATGCATTTTGCTGTGCCTCTGTCTCTCTCTGCCACCTCCTTTTAGTTTTGCTTCCCTCCGAATCCAGCTGCCTCGGACAGGGAGAGACACAGGCTCCAGATGCTGCCTGCAAGCCCCCTCTCCATTCCCATAGCAACAACCCCTCGTGGCTTTAAGGCTGAGAGTTACTGGGCATCCGCATTCGGGCTCTGACCCTGGGACTGACCAGCTCCTGCCATGCACAAGATCAGGCGGCATTTATCCCCCGGGGGGGCTGCGGAGGAGGAAGAACCCCCTTCATCGGGGTGGTGAGAGATATAATTTGATTTTACGCTGAAATAGGACCGTAATTATTAGTTAGTGCCTCTCCTGGTGAGCTGCTTGCAGTGACAGGCTCCCGTCTGGAAGTGCCCTGTGCTGAAGTGTCCTTTCACACACCCACTGCCAGCCAGGGCTTGGACCGTCTCAATCCAAACTCAGCAGCTCCATTTCCACATCCCTCCCGTTCTCGTTACAAGGACAGAAGGAAAAAACAGATTTCCCCCGCTGTAAGCACGAAGAAAGCACAAACCCCATGCTCTCGCCCACTGCCATCCGTGCCACCCCCGGAGTGAAGGAATTTTTTAGGGGAACGTGAAGTCTCCTGGTGAAGGCATCTCCCATGAGGAAGGCAGGAGGGAGCGCAGCCCCGGAATTCTCGGAGCAGATCCCGAATGCCATCTGCCGTGCCCAGCCCGTGGGCACAGTGGGCACTGAGCTCGGGGCAGCAGAGATGTGCACAGAGCCCATCCTGCCAGCACACAGCCTGTCCTGCCAGCATCAGCTCTCTCCCTCTCAGGGTTTTTCATAGAGGTGCACAGAGAGAAATGAAAGAGAAAACAATTTCTATTTCTGCTCCTTGTTTTTCCTATGTGGAATGTGTTTGGAGAATTGTTTACCTGGGCTGATTGCTTGGTTGGATTCTGGTGAGGATTGTTTGAGCCTGATGGCCAATCCAATCCTCCTGTGGCTGGACTCTCAGAGAGGGTCACGAGTTGTGTGAGAGTTAGAGTCAGAGAAAGTAGTATATAGTTTTAGTATCTTCCTTTATATAGTATATTAATGTATTTTAGCATAGTTATAATAAAGAAATCATTCATCCTTCTGAACTGAGTCAGACATCATCATTTCTTCCCATTGTGTTTGCCTGCATTTACAACAGGGCTGCAAAAGCTTTTCCTGGCCTCTTGTGCTGTGCGGGCTGGGAGAGCAGGGCTTGGGGCAGCGTGGTCAGTGATGCTCACCCTGCCCACCCCGAGCCCTCTGCAGCCAGAGGAGACAAAACTGGCCCCAGCAGAGGCCAAGGGGCTTGGCTGTGGCTTTTCCTTGGCTGTGGCTTTTCCTTGGCTGTGGTTTGCTGCCCCTGGAAATGCAGACAGGGCTCTGCTGCTCTGCAAAAGGGATTTGAGGGCTGAGTGGGTCCCAGAGCTGCCTGGGAGTCAGAGCCTGGCTGTCCTTCCAGGCTGAAGCCAGTGATGCTTCTAAAGCTCTCAGAGCCAGCAGCAAGGCAGTTGGTTCTTTTGGGAAGTGCAAGCCTTTGCTTCACATCCTCCCTCTGCCAGCTTGGAGCAGGCACTGGAGTCTCTCAGGAGAGAGCCCTGGCCACTGCAGGGGTATCCTGAGGGTTATCCTGTGGGCTGTCCCCTCAGCTGTGCCACAGCTTGTCCCATACCCACTACCCACTCCACTATCCTCTAGGCTGGATTGCAGTCTGTCCCACAGACTATCCTGTAAACTATCCCAGAGGCTAATGGTTGTCCTGATTTTTAAGTGTTGAGTTTTCTTTTATAGTTCTTTTGAAAGTTTTAAAGTTCTCATAAAATTTCTTCAGCTTTCTAATAATATTTACATGTTTCTACTGGAGTTCTCATGCACTGTTCATGTCAATAATGGTTGTTTTGCATTCCTCTTTGTGGGAGGAAAGAATTGATGGATTGTTGGTTTGACCAGTGTGGTTGGAGAGGTGGTAATTTCCAATCCACCATCACTTTTGGAATTCTATATATTGCAAGGTCAGAAATAAAATTGGTTCTTTTTCTCTCTTGAACTCACCAAGCTTCCATGCACTCATTTCGTGTCCAATAGTGACATCTAATCCCTCAGATTACTCCACAGGTGATCCCCATGGCTATTTCTGAGCAACAGCTTCTCCCACTTCAACAGCCCTCCCACACCAACCCCGCTGCTTCTGTACACCAGTCAGGACCTCTGTGACCACCATTCCATACCCTGCTCTGCTAAGCACTGCCTTAATCCTGCTTTGCTCAGTGACTTGATTGACCCAGCAGGTTCCTGAGGAAGATGGCCACGATGACAAAAATGCAGCCATTTGGAAAGAGACAACAAGAACAGTCTCTGTGGGGGATGCACATGGGACATTTGGGATTGTAGAGGACAATCTGAGCTCTCCCACTGTGATCACCCACTCCAGGAATGGTCAGGCAACATCACTGGTGCATTTCAGGATTTGATCACACTTCACTGAGATATATAATGATCAGAGTGTCACACTGGTGAGAATCTACTTTTCAACATTTTTTGAAAAAAAAAATGTGACTGGCTTCTCCAGCCAGCAAAAGGCCAAGCTCTGAAATCCAGGTGATGGTCCTAGTCCTGCCTCTCCACTGTCCTTGTCCTATCTACTCTCCCTGTGTGTTTAAAATTGTGTTTGTTAAGCTCCAGCACACATCCCCTTCTCCCTAATTACATTAATACTTCTTGGAAAAACTGCTTTGCTGTAAAACTGCTGACTATTGCTCTTTTCAAGAACTTCATGTAGAAGTGAATCTTCAAAAGCTGAGCACTCAGGAATTACGACAAAAGCCTGATGGAATCGCAGGCTCAGTTCAAGCCCATGCCTGAAAGGAGAGGAAAGATAACATTCATCAAAGACAGTGTGCAGCTCCAGAGATCACTGCCTTGAGTTGGTTTAACCTTCCAGAGTCTCCTTATTTCAGTATACCCTGGGCAATGTGCAGCAAAAAATATTGGGAAGCATTATCCAATCCCAAAAAATCCTTCAAATCCAAGCAGTGCAGTGCCTGACAATGATTTTCCATCATTTGCCTTAGAGGAATGGTTTGCCCAGCTCAGGGCAGTACCAGGCTCTTGTGCTCCTGACCACATCAAGTGTTTCCCAGCTCTGCTTTGCCTCCCCTGTACACTTCCCTGTGTACACTCCAGCCCTGGAATGTGCCTTCTGGAGAGCTGCAGAGTCAAGCCTTGGGCACAGGGACCTGGCAGTGCCCCAGCCAGGTGTCACTCACCCCAGGGGTGCTCCCAAGGGGTGAAAAAGGCACTTCTGTCTCCCAGCCCTGGCGTCAGCCCCGTGTGGTGCTGTGGAGGCAGCTTTATTGGGGTTTCCAAGGAGTAACCAGAGGATGCTCAGATCCCACATTGCCCTGTGGAGGCACAGCTCAGCCAGGCTGGCTTTACATGGGCTGAGATCTCCCCCTGCTGCAAACCCTGCTCGGAGGGCGAGGGAGAAGCTTTAAGGATGAAAAGGGGCTGCTCAAGTCCCTCCATGCAGGCCTGGGGTGGGGTGGCACCATTCCTGTCCCCTCCCATCTGTGTCCTTCTCGATGTGCTGACACAACCCTCAGCCTCTCTCAAATCTGGTTTTCTTGCTGCAGTCAAGAAATTCAGTGCCCCTTGCAACCCGCTCTGTGCACATCCAGACCAGGGATCTTCAGAGGGATTGAAACCGGGTGAAAAGAGCCAGAAAACGTAAAACTTCCAGTGAAAGATTTCGTACTTTGAAAAAAGTTTGCCTAGAATTTAAAACAGAGAATAACATTTCTGTGAAATCAACTTTTTTCCATACCAGTTCCATATCTAAGCCTTCAAGTACTTTCTTTGCCTATTAATCCCTTCTGCTGCAGGTCTCTTGTGTCTGTCTGTCTCCGTGCCTCCACAGGGCCCTGACCTGCTGCTTTACCTCTCCATGCTCCAACCTGCCAAAATTCCAGATTGCTCCCACAGCTCCTCTTCTCCCTACTTCACTCCCTCTTTTCATCCTCTTTGGTGTTTTGCCATTTTTGCTTCTCGGTGTTTTTTCCCCACAGACCTGAAGTCGTGCAGGAATTAACTTTCTGGTTTATGCTGTTAACAGCCAAATGATGGCTGTGGCAGTGGGAGCTCCTCCATGCAGAGCACCACTGACCTTTCCAGCCCAGCTCTCCCTCCTCTCCATAAACCCACAAAAAGAACGTGGTGTGCTGCACATGGAAATTTTACCTCACCTCTTTGCACATTTCTTTTACATCCTGCCAGATTTCCACAGGCCCAGTCCTGGAAGTGATCATATTGAATGTTAATTAGAGAATGACTGATTATTAACATTGGGACCTTTATAGGATTTGTCTGAACACCCTGAAAGTGGTGTTTGGCCCCTCCCCACTCAGCAGCAGAGCTCTCCACCTCACCCCTGCCTCCAGCCCCGTTTTTGGGTCCTGTTGCTCACCCCAGCCCCATCCCCAGTCCACGCAGTACAGCCACACTCACTGTCATCCTGGTTTCCATGGCAAACCCCCAGGAATGTGGGCTGGAAGGGAGCTGTGACATCTGACGTGGCTGGTCCGGGGCACTGGGGTGCAGAAGCAGAGCTCTGTGGGCGGGAGATGTGGGATTACTCACCCAGGAACCAGCTTTGCTCTTCCATCCAGCAGCGTTGGCCACCGCCGTGATAATACTGCCTTCACTCTCTTTGCAGCTGGAGGGAAAATTCTGGTGCCTACCAGTAATTCTTGCTGTGTCTCAACACTCAGAGGCAGTTATAATAAGCTCAAATCTTGTGGAAGTGAGAACAGCCATCCCTGG